GAATGCTGATATGTTGCAGAAGGCCACTGTGCGGCCTACAGTCCTCAGGTGAGTCATTTTCTTGAATAGTGAAGGCTCCCAAAACTGATGGCCTAGGCTGGATAGAAAAACCAGCGACTGTTGTGCCGACTGGGTGCAGAAACAGCATTTTAAAAACGTGGAATCAAAAACTGTGATTGTATTTGCGCAAAAAGTGGCACAGGTCTCACGTGCAGACACTTCACTTGTACGGAGCAAAAACAAATAACAGGAAGCACTATTGGCTAGCGGAGTCTTCAAAAAGACGCAAATGCGGTTAACGCAACTACTACCTAACTGCAGCATTTTCAACACTCCTAGGAGCTTTGGCCCCAAATTTATCACCGATTTGTGCGATGGACAGAATACACCGCTCCAGTGCCGTTATTTATTAAAAGCTGTCTAGAGATGTTTCTCACTTAGCGCATTTAGCGTTACGAGAATGTGCAGCTATCGTAGCGCAACAGTGGAGGAAGTAGTAGCAGTGGCTTTGACATTATTAAAGTAGATTTTGTTGATATCATTGTTTTAAATTTTTTGACCTAAAAAACCTTCAACAGGAACTACGTGGATGATTCCCTGAAGCAAAAAGATTATTTTGGTTTCAAGAAAATGATTACAGTCGATGATATGTTTCACGCACGCGTACATTATGGCCACAAGGTATGCGCTTTTGTTATTTGTACCATGAAGACTCGTTATTTTAATCTGCACAAACCACAAACCCCTCAGTTAAGCTTTAAATGTGTAAAAAGAATAGTAAATTTTTTTCCTTGTGATTTTCTATAAGGATATTTTACAGTTCTTTGTCTCATGTTTGTTTGTATTGACAGCGGAGTCTATAGTCGAGGAAGATTTCAGAAGGGCTTTCGCATGGTTCTCAGCTCATTGTTCTTTTCGACTAAATTACTTAGCAAAGCACAAGAACTCTTCAGCGTGTCCCTGATGTGTGTTGAGCGCTACCACTGTCACCCCTCGAATGGTGCATTCTTAGACCATGATGAAATACACTACCAACTAGGGAAAATTAAACTTGTCAGTTCAAAAATTCTTTGATCCCTTGTCCAGTAATCGTGCTTCATTTTGATGTTTTTCTTCTTGATACGACCACGCAACATTACTTCTGGGATATATTTGTTCGCAGGAGGCGCAAATTGTACCGTCATTTTGTCACCGACCTTTCACCATTTTTTATCAGCTGGTTATCCTTTCTACGTAAAATCCTTATCCGAAGAGTTGCTGTTTACAGGTTGGGACAGTTCATGACAAAATGAAGTGGTCACTGTTTGGCGAACGACTGGGCGTTTGTATTTTTGATTTGCAAAAAACTCGTGACTGCTTAATCAGGGCATTGAACTTTGCTGCGCACATGGCGATGCGTGGTGGCATGTTCTTATTCATCACGTCAGACAGGTTTGTGAAACACCCAGATGTTCGATACTGATTTACTGCGATCTCAAGCGCCCACGTCCCTTTTGTCATTTGGAGCACTTTTCGAAATATTAACGTTTGTCGGCTGATTTCTCTTGAAGTGTAAAGTCACGCTTGTGCCGAAAAAGATTGAAAAACGTGAAAAATAGGCACTTCTTAGTGTTGCACATGTTTAGTGCTTGCATATTTTCGCACGGCTTGTTGCATCTCCTCATGGATGGAAGTCATTTTACGCACCGTTTGTTGCATTTTCTTCGTTACCTACTGGTAAGGTTGCTTGACCAATGCATTCTGAAGATTGTTCGGTGACTCCTACTAAATGGTAACGAAAGAGATGCAACGAACGAAAACAATTTTGCAAATGCAAGCAGCGATAATTCAACAAATTTTGAGAACAAATAGCTTAGAGGTCCAGTCAGTCTGCCAACTTTTAATGAGCAGGATTGGATTGACCAATAAATAAGGTAAGATGTGCACCAAATCTTGCCGACGAATAATGGAATTAAACACAACTCAGGTTGCAACGCAGCAGGCTTGCCAGTGCAATCATGCGTTTTTGCGATAAACTTGCTGATTGTTAAGAGTAGAAATGGTTCCTACACTGCAGTTTAACACTTAGACTTATATTGGCTGTGTTTTGACTTCCTTCTGCATGCAAGGGGAAAGGAGGTCGACAGGGATGAAGGTGGTGCACTATAAGGCCGCGCAGACCTCTAGCGTGCATGATTATCAATTTTTTGCATAAAGCCCGGTCGTTTTTTCGGTGGATGCTCATTTCTTGAAAAAATGCAAATTTGAAAGGAATCGGAAGAAGATTATGAAATCTCTAAACGCATTCTCTTTTGAGTTTGTGATAAAATTGAGTATTTGTCATGTCTGCGCGCACGCATTACTTCACCTTCAACCTGAATTAAGACCATACGTGAATATAGAATATCCTTGCAAAGTTACAGCTCCACATCTTGTCCAATAAACAAAATAGCCACTTCGCTACAAGAATCTTTGAAGTGCCCTGGGTCGTGGCGCTAGTGCAATCCCGGACCCAGTTTAGGTATACGATTTTCCATATGAACAGTAAATATTTTGACAAAATTTCAGCTACTGTTTTTCGACTAGCTTTCGAGTTAACACAGTACCAACTGCGAACTTTGACGTGACCGCACGTGTCATGTAGACGTGCGCTGTAGCTGAATTTGAAATCTTTAGTTCATGCATGCGCAGAGAATACTTCTACAAATATTCAACTTTCTGTCATGTCTGGATCACGAAATCGTTTTTCGCCAAAGAAATCTGCATGTTTTTTCTCGGAGGCCCGCACGCGAGTTCCAGGCGCGTATGAGCGAGGTTTTTAAAGCGGGAAGATGGCGCATGGGATGGCAATATGCCCCCAAAATTTCAGTCTCCCAACTTTCCTAGTTGCTGTGTTGAAAGTGGGTGACAAAGTTCACTCGCTTCCGAACGCGTACGGCCTCTCGACAGTATGCTTTTTGCTCATTGTAGCATAGCAAAAACGCATAAAAACTCTTACTAGCTCTTTCGTGCCCTTTTCTCCGCTATCTTCCAGGTCCTCTCAGCGTTCACGCGGCCCTGTTCGACCGGCGTAAAAAACTCCACATTTGTCTTTGAATTACGTGTAGGTTCGATTTTTGCAGAAATAACATGCTAATGGTTGAAAAGAAAGCGATGGAAGTGGGTGAGTTCGTGCACGTCCGACGGTGGCAAGTGGACACGTTGCTTAATGCACAGGACTTGTTTGGAGCACCAGTTCGCTTGCCGGATACCATCATACTTCTCTCTACGTTGACCTCGGTCTGGTATTTCTGATGCTGTAGCATGCGTCTAAAGGAGCAGATATGGCCAGCCACATTTGTCATCCCTGAACGGCTCACTTGTTTTATAGCGCTCCATTAGTGATTTAACCTTAGGAAATAGTGTTTATTTTTGCTATTACATCACAAATCATGCATGAAATGGAATAAATGCAATCAAGTCGAATAACAAGGGAAAGTGAAAAATTCAAGCAAGAGAGAATAAGAAATTACCCGCCTGCCGATGCCTCTCTCATTTTTCTGTTCCGACTATCATCACATCACTCCGGAACACTATTGCAGGTATTGGAAACACATCCAGCAGTGCGGGAAGCGGCAAAATTGGTCATACCAACAATTGCCATTGTAGATTCAAACGCAGACCCAACGTACATCACGTATCCTGTGCCCGGGAATGATGATTCAACGTCAAGTGTGCAGTATTTCATGAATTCCTTCACAAATGCTATCAAGATTGGTAAGGAAGCACGGCAAACGTTAATTGGCGATGCTTGATTTTAGTCG